GAGGAGGAGGAGGAGGAGGACAAGGAGCTGGGGAGGAGGGAGGCCTCCTTGCTGCACTCCCTGCAGGTCCCCCCAGGCTTCAGGGGGATGAGGCAGCATTAAACCAACACTTACGATGTACAGAAACCATCCAGCCCAGTGTGGTTCAATTCCTCTGTGGCTCAGCCTCAGGACTAATTTCCTCACTTGTGAAATGGGCCTAATATGACGGAGACAGATTAAGTGATGTGTCCAGACTCACACAGGCAGGAAATGTTGGAATAGAACTCAATCTGCAATTCATGCTTTTTCAGCTGGACCCCTTTACGCAGAGGGGCAGGCTGGTGGCAGATGTGGGCAGAACTCAGGGCGAAGGCTAAGCGATGAGTTAACCTTGAAAGTCAGGCTAAGGAAAGCAAACTTTGATTTCTCCTTTGATTTTTATATCCATTTTATTTGTTTGGTGTTGTAGAATTTTGACGATTGCTTTTCTTTCATTTGCTTTTTCCTAAGAAGGACCTTGATTAAATTAATGTTTAAGAATTCTTTTAGTGTTTAACTTTCTGTGTGTTAGGCAGAAATCTAACCATTAAGCGACACAAATGTCAAAATCATGTGTCCTTTCAGAATAATAAAAGATTAAGACAGAAGCACTGACAGCTTTTTAAACTACATATTTTTTAAATATTCTCTGGATTTCTGAGCTAGTCATTATTATCACACTGATTATTTTGATAATCTACACATATGGGAATCTGTTCCCTTGCATAAGAAATGAACATTGAAAAAAGAATCTTGCCTTTGAAGCCCTGTGATTTCTACAATTAGATATAAATGTTATGTAAATGTTTTGAATGTTTTTCTGTTGAATTTGAGCTCTATTTGTCTTTCCCAATGCTGCCAGAATAATTTATTTTTCTTCAGCAGATTTAAAGGTAAGAGAGAAACCTGGAAGCAAAGTATGTTAGCTTCCTGTCACTGTTATAACAAAGGACCACAAAGTTACTGGCTTAACACAAAATATATTCTGTCCCAATTCTTAGGTCAGAGCTTCACTCTCAGTTGCACTGGGTTTCAGTCAAAGGGTCAGCTGAGCTGGCTCCTTCCTGAGGCTCTGAGGGGATAATTCATGTCCTCTCCGCCTTGTCTTCCAGCAGCCAATCGGGTTTCTTGATTAGCTGTTCTTCTGCCTGTCTGAAAAGGACATCATGCCCATCTCTGTTTCTGGCATCCTATTGCTTCTCCTTGACCCTGTTACCTGCTGTGTGCCTCTAATAAGGGCCATTGTGATGGGTGCTCACCAGGTCACACAGCAAGACCTTGTTCCCATCTCAGCATCCTTAGTCACATCTGCAAAGCCCCCCTTCTCACGGCAGGTAGCATATTCGCAGGCTGTGGATAGACATGGTCATCTTTGGGGAGCCTTTGCACAGCCTTCCCCATGGAGAGCCTGGTGGTAAGGTTGTCGCAGGAGGGACAGTGGAGACCAAGAATGTGCATGAGTCACAGTGCTGAGGATGATGAAGGGGGAAAAGCAAAGATCTGGGGACCAGCCCCATGATTTCCAGAGCCTCATGGTAAATGAAAGCGGGGCACCTTGTTCAAAAGTCACTGGGGATTTCAAGGCAGCAACGGCAGGCACAGGCTCCTTGGGGGTCTGGAGCTGGACAGCACACAGGCTGGTGGATTAGGAAGTTGGCCCTGGAGATGGTCAGAGTGCAGGCTGCCATGGATGCTGCCTGTGTGAGTGCACATGAAGCCCCAAGCCTTTCCTCAGCCTGTTTTCTTATGTGTAGAATAAAAACAACTTCTGCATTATAGGTGCATTTGTTTTCATACTGCCATAACAAATTACCAAGAACTTGCCAGCTTAAAACAACAGAAATCTATCACGGTGTCAGAGGGAAAGCCGGTCCCTGCGGAGTCTGGGAAGGTGAGTCCAGGCCTCCCTCCTGGCTTCCAGTGACCACAGAAACCCTAGGCCTCCCTGGGCCTGTGGATTAGTGGATTGCCACAGCCAAAGCCTTCACCGTCATATCATCTCCTGTGCTAAGTCTCAGTGCTCCTCCCGTCACCTATCAGAACACCAGGAGATGGAGAACAGGTGGTTCAGGGTATAGGGTGCAATGGCTAGAAGAAATAACTTCTGACATTCTATAGCACAGCGAGATAACTACGGGTGACAATAATTATATAGATACACGTGTGTGTGTGTGTGTGTGTGTGTGTGTGTGTGTGTGTGTGTGTAATACGTGGGCGTCGTGTGTGTGTGTGTGTGTGTGTGTGTGTGTGTGTGTGTGTGTATTACATGGCAGTGCTAGGGATTGAATCCAGGCCCTCCAAGCACGTTACCACTGAAGTATATCCCTGCCTCTTTTTTAAAGTTTTATTTTGAGATAGGGTCTTATTCAGTTGCCTAGGCTAGCCTCAAACTCACAATCCTCCTCAGTCTTCTGAGTAGCTGGTATTGGAAGCATGTGCCCTGACAAAAGATAAGTTTTAAAAGCAAATACAGACTCATCTACTTGTACAATCATCGATCCTTTGTCACACATCTGCTAACATTGATCAAGCGCCAGGTACTAATGAAAAACCTTATGAGAATGTTACATTTTAGAAATAGTTTTATCTTTTCTGAGGATAATGTTTAAAATTTTTGTTCGCTTTAAGGGGCATGGTAGTGCACACCTGTCATCCCGGGACCCTGAGAGGCCCTCCTGAGGCAGGAGGAACCAAAATGTAAACCAGTCCG